CGTATCTAATTGTTATCTACTAAATTATTACTAACACTAACTAAAATAGTTTTAGATTATTTGTTATCGAAATCAAAATAAATGGATATAGTATAAATTATTTTTTGTCTGTATCTGGATAATATTGTTATTTTTATCAGTATGAAAACGATATTAACTTTAGACGACACTGACACGTAATGCATTGAAGAAGTTTTACAGCAATTATAGGACATTTGGTATAAAACGGTTTTGTTAAGAACTGGGGAGCATAAAATCCGGTCCTCTTCCTTGTGTTGTGCTTGTTTTTTAGGTCAGCGTTTTTCCAACTAGGTTCTCTCGTTTTATGTAGGGATAAACTAATTACTAGTGTATTTCCCTAGGGAAATCAATAAAATATTGCCATGGAAAACAGGGTTTCTTCTGCCGCTGGCCTCCAATTTAATTATTCAATTCGTACGAGAAAAATACCCACAACAAATTCGTTTTTCGCATATGAAAGTATCGATCTTTTTTTCATGTGTGGGACGAATTGCCAAATAAAAATACTGTTTGTAGATTGATTTTCTGAGGGATTTAGTTTAGGATTGTCAATATTTCATTAGCATATAAAATATACAGGATGTGCCATTTAACACTTCCGCTGCTAATATCTCCGAAATGAAGAAATTTATTTTAGTTCCGGAAACCAAGGTTGTTATGTCCCTCGAATAGCTTAAAATTGCGGTTAGAACTGTTAGTTCAAATCTTTCTGTATAAATGGCGTGGCGATACTAAAAAATTTTTTGATCCCTGGAACGTGGAAATGCAGTCCATCTGAAAGATCATTAAATTTTGAGTAATTTTTATAATATAAAATTTTTCCAAATCTTTACTTGTTTTCGAGAGATGTCGACTTCAATATGCAATGTATAATGTAACAGAAAAATTTATTATTTTATTTAGATTACACTGAGACAAAATATTCTTTTAAAATATTGTTATAATGGTTTTATTCACATTACATACTAATTAACAAACAATAAATTATAAAAAAAAACAAATGATCAACTACAGAAAAAAAATTGTACAATGGTAAATCTTATAAGGGGCAGAGACGAGCCATATTTTATCAAATATTAAAAAATTCATAGGTGGCTCATGTCATTTGTTTAAAATAAAACATGTATGATAGATGACACATATTAGTTTTCCAATAATTATAGTTTTATCAGGTTGCGTCTTTCAATTTAACTATACTAGTTATTAAAATATTTTTACACAATGAATTACTCAAATGAAGATAAATTAGATATGGTATTAATATTTGACGAAGCTCAACGAAATGCTACTGCTGCACGATGGTTACCTATATGCCATACGTTTTCCAATGAGGCCTCAGCTGGATAAGAAAACATTTGTAAGTTTATGCCAAAATTTACTAAATTATGGTAGTTTTACTAAACGACATCGAATTAAAACTGATAGTAATGATGAGAATATAGCTCAAGTGTTACAAATGATTAATAATAATCCTAAGACTTCCCTAAGGCCACTTCAGGTCGATTCTAATATTTCTACGACATCTTGCCGCATAATTTTGAAAAACAATGGCTATTTCCCCTATAAAATTCACCTCGTCCAACATTTAAGAGCTGGTGATGTGCAACGGAGATTAGATTTTAGCTCAATTATCAGTGCTCTATGAAGAACACAATAATTTACTTAATAATATCTTATGGAGTGATGAAAGTAGATTTCACAATAATGGCACGGTAATACGCCAGAATTGCCGCTATTGGTCTGACAATAATCCAAAAGTAATGCACTGAATCCGAAATCAATATATTTTTTCTGTAAATGTTTGGAACGACATTTTGATGGCTATTTAATTGGACCATATTTTTACCACGGAACATTAACATGTAACCGTTATTTACATTTTCTAAGAAACTATCTACAAAACTTATTGCCCCTCACAATACTAATGCTGTATAAGAATACTTAAATCATAGGTTTCCGGGAAGATGGTTAGGTACTAACGGAGTTATAAACTGGCCGGCTTTTCACCAAATTTGACCCCACTAGATTTTTCCTATGGGTTCATTAAAAAAACATTGTATATCAGGACCCTATAGGAGACATGGCAGATTCGTACAATAAAATTTATGGAGCTACGGCGGCTTTAGATCGTTAAAAGAATTCACGATATATCTATATACCTAAAGACAACAAACGAACTCAAAACTAAAATGCAAAATCTTTAAATTTAAAACAATATAGGTAACACGAAACAAAAATGCGACTATGAAGTTTTAAATGATCCACAATAAGAAAAAAACAAACAAATTATTAAAACTCAATGAAATAAAAGTATGTTTGCAAGTACCCATGTATCTTCCGACTACCTAAAGACAACAAATACAAAACAAAAATGTGACCTTAAATTATCGAATTCAGTTATAACTTTCCAACAACACTCAGAAAGAAAACACAGTCGTCAGTCGTCCAAGTCAGTTTATTAAAGGATCACGCGCGCGTTAGTGTTCGGCTTATTAGCTAAACAGTAGGCAAGACGGTGCGTGGGGAGGGTCGGCGATCGCATCAAGCGAAGCGAGGGGCTTGAATTTTATTCTCGCGTCCGTAATTTTTTTGCGATTACTCCTAAGATATTCATTTAAATTATATGGTCTAAATGAGTAAAATAATGTGCATGAAATGCTTAAAGCCTCTAACTTATTTAAAATGATAAGGATTAATACCGTATTTGTGTAAATAGCTTTTACATTACCGCTTTATAATTGCAAATTTTTTAAAGTATTAAAATGGATATAGGTAGTATGTTATCTTTAACATATAGACATATGCCATCGCGGACTTTTCTGTAGGCATATATAAGATACACAATTCCACCATACATTGATGCACTACATAAACTTTCGGACCCCCCCCCCGGCTCGGGCGCGAGGCGCGGGGTTACGGGGCGCCGGTCGAATCACGGCGACACGAAATTAATTTCGTTGCGCATTATTTTGATTTTGCTATATCTCCTAAGGTATTCATTTAATTTGCATGGTGTAAAGGGAAAAAATAATCTTCATGAAATGCTCAAGCCAACTAACGTATTTAAAATGATAAGAATTAATGCCGTATTTGTGTAAATAGCTTTCCAATTACCGCTTTATAATTGCTCATTTTTTAAAGTATTAAAATTGATATAGTATGTTATACTTAAGAGATAGACATATGCCATCGCGGACTTTTCTGTAGACCTATATAAGATACACAATTCCACCATACATTATTTTGTTATATCTCAAAGGGTTTAGGCAGCGTTTTGGTTGAAAGCTCCCAGACGGCTTATTTTTTCCAACACCTACAACAAATATCGTTAATGTATACAAAAACTTAACAAATTATATACTAAAACCTTCCTCGAGAACCACTCTATCCATTGGTGAAAACAGCATGAAAATCGGTGCGTGCAGTAGTTTTTGAGTTTATCGCGAACAGACAGACAGACGCGGCGGAGGACTTTGTTTTATAATATGTAGTGATATTGTGGTCTTAATTCGACTGCTAATTTCTATAAGGTGTCTTTTTATCAAAATCAACAAAAAGGATCAGATGGGTCAATTTCGACCTCTTACAAAGATGTATTAGCTTGAAAGTGACACATCGTAAATGTTTTTTCTATCTTCTGAAATAGTATAGGTATCAAATCTTGTACATGTTTTTCCCTGTTGTTGTCACATATTATGTGGTCTCAAAAAAAAATGTTCTATGTGGGAACCACTACTTTGTAGTCGTCGTTATATTGAAAATATTGTTTTTTTCTCTTGGAAAAGTTATTCTCCATACTGTATTTTAATTCCTATTAATATTCCAATTTTCTACTTCTGTATGACTTATTTTAATCAAATAATAATGCAAACTTTCAACCAATAACAATGTTACAATGACATTACTACCTGTCACTGTCACGACCTACCATATAACATTGTATTCACACGGTCTAATTAGTGAGACTTAATTTAAAATACCTATAAGCATCTTGGACTGTATCAACGTTCGATATGTCAAAATATATTACAACTAAATCTGCGAATCCTTACATATGTAGTTGAAAAAAGGCAAAAATGCCTGAAAGAGCCGAATTCCGGTTTATTCTGGAAATTATTAAGTGAGGCCTCAGTTACAGTAAGTGAGCCCTAATTTGCTACAAATAAGGACTGACTAACCCCAATTGGATCAATTTTAAAAAAGTACCTACATTCACTTACCCGAGCAAAGCAACTCGCTTGGAACAGATAGACTGTCGACTAAAATAAAATTCCAACTGAACTATCATATAGCCACAAGAATTTTTTGTTGTGGTAGCAAACACATTTCAGCAAAACGTACTTACTTGTGGCAGCATGAATTTTTTTCCGTGACAGCAAAAATTTTACCTACTGTAGCTAAAATATCTTAGCGAAGCCCCTCACTTGGCGGATTTCACGAGTAGCAGCTAACTCATGTGTTTAAATCCACTAACTATGCTCGTGTCTTTAGCCTCTGTCTGAATCTAAACCCAGGAAAGAATATCACTTGTTTTCATTAACGAGAGTAATCAATCTTGAAAGTTTGTCGTAACTTCTCTGATATCACTCTGTATTTAGATTTGATTAGAAGTTGAATAATAGGGGAAAACTTTATCAAAATTTGTTACAGTAAATATAACAAAAAATTTCACAGGATCTCAATTCATTCAGAATTTAATCAAGTTGAGTTCAAACATTTTTTGGGTTCAAAAAACTAATACTCCATTTCTGACTGTTTTCTTGCGTAAAAGTGTGACAAATAACCCTGCTAAAGCACAAATTAACCGTAAAACGCTCTATACTAAAAATAAAAACATTACTCCCAGCAATCCCTCTCACTTCATTGTACGTACGGCAATCTCTGTCCGACTTCATCGGGCGAGAAAGAGCCAGGAATGGAGTATTCTATTTGTCTGTTTTAGCGACTGGATGATTTATTAGTCGCGTCCTTTGTTTCAGAGCGTGTTCAACGTGTTGGGGGAGACCCTGGCCAGGCTGCAGCAGGACGAAGAGGCCGAGAGGTGGTACATCGCCGCTCTACATGCCCAACCGGACCATGTTCCTGCTCACATTACATATGGCAAGCTACTGGCCAAGAACGTAAGATTATTTAAATTTTTCTGAGAAGATATTGATGAGGTGTATCTCCCTTTAATATAATAGAGATAGACCAGGCGGTATCTGTTTTGGCTTGGGTGAATCGTATATCCACGGAGATTTTTGGCCTTTGGGCTTTCAAATATCATTAGAAATGAAAATTTTTCTATGCGCATAAAAAAAAACGTGGGCTTAACTTTTGACGGCACAATAACATATGTTAAAAAATTTGGAAAAATGTCATATTTTTTTTCCTATTTAATTATGTATCTTTTTAAGACTTGATTTTAGGCGAAAATGGAAGAGGAAAAAAATGTTTGTAATTAAATTTTTTACAATACATGACTGGTTACAAATCGAATGAATCATGATTATTATGGTAAAAATCGAAAAAATCACAAAAACGGGGTTAAAAAGCAATACTTTTTAGGGAATTTTTTTGGTGTACTTAAATTGGGTGTAGGGCCTTTATACTTGGCTCAAGAAAACTTCATGTTATGTAGAATCATCACACCAAATTTCATCAAAATCGGTTCGATAGATTTTGCATAATAATTTTGCAATTCAGATTAAAAAAAAATTGCAAATTTTCAACATTTTGCACAGCAAAAACCAAGGCCCTTAGATACTTGAAAATTTAATCACATATAGAAGGGCTCTGAGGCTTTCAAACTTTTTCTGAAAAATTCGAGTCCGTCAATTAGGAGAGCTCTGGCGCTTGTTTAAACATTGGTCGAACTTTTGTACTTATAAACAATTAGAACTTTGTGAATATTCAATCAAATCAAATTTTTTAAAGCAGGTTTTAAAAGTTCTTGGAAAGACGCTTCTTTTTAAAAAAAACAGATCGATTGATCAATTAGTTACGTAGTTATAGCCGTCATTTACACTAAATGTACTGGGACATCCGGGCTAATTTTTCGAAAAATACCTTTGGTATTCCGAGTACTTACCAGGTCTAAGATTACAATACTTTTCTTCATTGGCAACCTACTTTAAAACATGTTTAAAGTTATTTATGCAAGCGAGAAATTCAATAAAATCGTACCGGTGGTGGTGGTGGGGGAAGCAGAGAGCGCGGCCGCTTCGGCCTGCTCGAAATTGAATCGTCTATAACTCCGTAACTAATTGATCAATCGATCTGTTTTTTTTAAAGAAGCGTCTTTCCAAGAACTTTTAAAACCTGCTTTAAAAAATTTGATTTGATTAAATATTCACAAAGTTCTAATTGTTTATAAGTACAAAAATTCGACCAATGTTTAAACAAGCGCCAGAGCTCTCCTAATTGACGGATTCGAATTTTTCAAAAAAAGTTTGAAAGCCTGAGAGCCCTTCTATATGTGATTAAATTTTCAAGTATCTAAGGGCCTTGGTTTTTGCTGTGCAAAATTTTGAAAATTTGCAAATTTTTTTTCAAAATCTGGATTGCAAAATTATTAGGCAAAATCTATCGAACCGATTTTGATGAAATTTGGTGTGGTGACCCAATTTAAATACACCAAAAAAATTCTCTAGAAAGTATTGTTTTTTAACCACATTTTTGTGATTTTTGTAATTACAAACATTTTTTTCCTCTTCCATTTTCGCCTAAAATGAACTCTTAAAAAGATACATAATTAAATAGGAAGAAAAATATGACATTTTTACAAGTTTTTTAACATATTGTGCCGCCAAAAGTTAAGCCCACGTTTTTTTTTATGCGCATAGAAAAATTTTAATTTCTAGTGATATTTGAAAGCCAAAAAGCCAAAAATCTTCGTGGATATACGATTCACCCAAATATGGCTTTTTGAAACTGATACCGTCTGGACTAAGACGGTATTCGTACTTCTCAATGACTCGCATGCAGTGGTGACCCGTGGGTTTGAATACAGGGAGGGCGCATTTTGAAAAGAGGACGTACATGATAAGAGCTGCGGCAAAAATTTTTAAGGAATTTGAAGGTCATTGTGTTTTGCAAGTACCCCAAATTGAATACTGTCAGTGTGTACAGTAGGTACTTAGATACAATGCGAGAAGTAAAATTCCAACGTGTGGGGGCTGAAGTGGATAATCGATCAAGCAACCCAGTTAGGATATAATTATGTAAATTACTGTAATAGTTCATTCTGTATAGTTTTTGAAGTTCCTTTAAAAACATGGGCATCACTAAGATGTTTATCTAAAACGGGATCAATTTTTGCACTATAGTCTGTCAGTTCTAAAAATACCCCTTTGTTTACCGAGTCACTTTTTTTATTATTTCCACGTAGAGAAAGGTTACATGTACCACATAGTTTTAAGATATTTAAAATTTTTGAAAGAAGCAATCGATTTTTCTTAACTGTTTCGTTATGACTATTTACTATTTATTTGTTCTGCATAAGCACTATTTAACAAGAAGCAATATTTACTCTTCCTAAAAGCAAAAAAACTCACCAACTTATTTTTGTGTTTAGGAGAATTTTCATGTTTCTTAATTTTAATTTCTAAATGTTTCAAGTCAGAAACTCCAGTTTTCGTCCAGTTTTCCTCGCGTCCTCCAAACAATAAACATACAAAACACAAAATCTATTTGTTTCGTCACAACCACAGGGTCTTATCATAAATGTTTTTATCAAATTTGCGAAAGCTGGACCACTTTTTGCACTCTTTCTGCACCTCAACTAAATTCAACACTGGCGTTGGACGTCCATTATTTTTCAATTCGACTTTTTCCTCTAAACTTAAATTACTAATAACAAGTTTTTTTATTTCACAAACCCTCATTTTAAACTTAAACTTATAAAATATAATGTCTTAAAAAGCGCCAAAGCAAAAACAAAACACATATAACCACACTTCAGTGATACGGGTTACTGCCTCATGGAGTCCCAAAACAAAGCGCGCGAGCCTATCGTCGCCTATCCCCCTCCACGTGCCAATTTGTCCAATCATATGTAAAAATATGCTTGCACGATGGACTCAGATTTCACGGTCCGCGATGGAGTGGGGATTGCGCGCGCGGTTAAACATAACTCTTTGGTACGATCATAGATGGCAGATGGCATTAATCTGAGCTACGTTCACGGAGTACATTCACTTTATGCAACCAACCTAACATCCAAGAGATATTGAATGCATGCTATTTAGATTTCTTATTGATTTAAATAAATACATTATTTTAAGTTTATAGTTTGAAAATATATGGGGGGCGGAGTCCCAGAGTCCTCCTTCACGAACCGCCCCTGCTCGCATGTTAAGGGATGTTAAAGGATTCGAATTAATAACTTCTGTATTTCTTCACAAATAAGTTGGAAATTATATTTCACGTGTTTTTGTGATTTTTACAGTAAGGTGATGGTTAAGATAGATTACCTATTGTAGGCAGCGACTCTTTTTCAAGGATGCGATAATTTTGCAGAAATTATTAAATATAGGTATAGAATAAATAGATTATTATCGATTTTGAATAAAATTAAATCCATACATATGCATATGCACTCGCGTTGGTATGTCCAAAAATTTTTTGGTAAAACATAATTTTTTATTTGGCAGAAATGGCCTCACAATATTGTTTAAAAAAAAAAACATAAAACACACCACAGAAATGAATAAAATTTTGAACTGTGTTGGGTAATTTTCTTTTATTTCATATATTACAACTGGAGAGAATCCCACTCCATTCTTCATCCCTGTTTCTTATACCCATAGGATAGTAGAGACAGAAAGAATCACTTGGAAGAGAAAGTATAAACAAAAAGAACAGATTTCCATGCAAGTTGAAAAACATCATCCACGAACCCTTAGCTGATAAATATTCTACTTCCACCTTTCCATATCGTTTTGGTTATTTATGAGAGTTTCCGGAAATAAGTGATGCTAAACTGAAAGAAGGCATTTTCTATGGTCTTCAAATCCGTACCGTATTCAGAGACGAAAATTTTATCACATAAATGAATGATACTGAAAGAGCAGCATGGCTAAGTTTCAAGAAAGTCTCTCAGAATTTCTTGGGAAATCAGAGGATTACCAGAATTTAGTTGAGGAATTGTTGGAAAACGTCAAACAGTTGCCTGATGAACTTGAAATTGCATTTACTAGACTCTCATCTTGACTACTTTCTGGAGAATCTCGAAGACTACAGCGAAGAACAGAGTGTACTGTTTCAACAATATATGAAAGAAATGTAGAGTTGGTACCAAGGAAGGTGGGATGTTAATATTATGGCAAATTTTTTATGAATGCTTAAAAGGGAAAACGACCCAAAGACGTAGAAAATGAAAAAATCCGTTGCATAGATCGTTTGAAGACAAAAAAGTTGATTACAAAAGGAAAAATGAGTAAAAGGAACATAATTTCTTATGTGGAAATGATTTTGATATCTTTGAATACCCTCATCTCTTTGCGGGTATTAAATGGGCGAAGTTCTATCTATTTCTGGGAAGCAATTTCCCAGATTTTCGGGTTATTTTGCAAGGTACAAACATACTGAAGGGTGATAGAGTGATTCCGACTTCGGATTCTCGCCAAAATACATAAGAATACATAGGTCTAGTCTTTGGAACAGGCCACTTTTTTTTATATGCTTATGTATGTATGTTCCAAATATCAGAACAAAATTCTCGAACACAATTCAGTGCACTTAAGGCCGAAGATTATTAGCAGATATCAAAATTTTACTAGAGACAGAAAAACATGCGTTGTATCAATGTAAAATTTAAATTAATAGTCATAAACCAAAATTATGAGGTATTGAATAAGGTGGGAACCCTAAACAAAAGTACGATCCTATATTTTAAATATTCGAAATATATGTATATTACCATGAAATAAACAAAGGCGTGTAGGAACTTTCTAGCTAAAACAAGAGTTTAAAAATTGTAAAATTTGAAATAAAAGTAACCTGGAATAAATAAAGCTCAATAAGTATGAAAATAATATATTTTAAGAAAATTTAAATATAATACTTTATTTCCAACAATAAAAGGAAACAAATATCGAATAGAAATAAAATGTCACTTCACTATAACTATAACATTATATAAAAACATTTAAAAGCGGATAAGTAACGGCTCAATCAATTTTTTCCGTTTTACTACTGTTCAGTGGTGGCTGGTGTGAAAAAAATAAACAAAAAAGCTGACCGTCAGTATTGGCCTGAAATGGAATTAAGTAATATAAATCGTCGACAGGTACTAATTTACATTCTTATATAAGGTGTTCCAGGACCGACACTAAAATATAAATGATACAGGTGAAAATGTGACCTTTTTTCGAAGAAGTAAATTTTCTTGATTAATCGTTAACGATAAATCAAAACGTAATAATCATTTCTTAGTTTGTATTTTTAAGTATACTTTACCTATTTCTGAACCACAAAAAAATCAGTGGTGGTGTTAGAAGGAGTCGCTGCCTTTTAACTACTCTAACTTTAAACAGAAAAGAAAAGAGATCATAACCCGCTATTTGAAACGAAAATGCAACAAACGATTTTTATGAAAGAAAATATATCTAAATTGTCGAATTCCAGATAGCTGGACATTTATTTGTATTCATCAGCAACGGAGACTGGCAAATTAATGTCCCCAGAATGAATAAAGTAGGACAAAAATGTGTGGATGCAAGATGAACAAGAAATTCTGAATGCAGTGAAAAAACATATTATATCAAAATTCACTTTTTGGATTATTTTACAGGATAATTTATTGTATAAACTCGCAAAGGTTCAATTTGGACTTATCATTGCCCTTAATAAAAAATTTACTTTTCGTGAAAACTGTAAAGGATTGTAACTGGTACTTTTGCTGTCACATGTTCATTAAAAAGTAAATTTACCTACTT